GCCACACCGAGGGCGGCACGGCGGATGGCGGCGAGGCGCGATTGGTGCGAGCGGGCAGAACTACAGTAGTAGGCGTGATATTCAGATAGCTGCAGCCGCCGACGCATGCAGTTGAAGCAATCCCATCAGGTGACAGAACAGCAGCGACTCGTGCCCGGTGAGTGTAAGCGGAGGATGGGGATGGTTGAGCTAGATGTGTCATTCGTCTGGTGAGGATGAGAGGAGTGATGAGTTTGAAGAAGAGACAGTAGGAGGCGGTGTCGGTGAAGGCTGAGAAATGAGTGGATAAGAAGTGGTTGTCCAAAGAACACATAAGAGTCTGTCCCATATTTTTGGAGCCTTGAACGCTTGGGTCCCAGCGTTACCACGGTTGCATTGGCCGTGCCCGCGCGCGTCGTCCGTGTCACTTGGACCGCTGAACATCTCGACGCCACGTGCCGTCGCCGTCGCCCGTGGCGGTCAAGTTCACGAATTGAACATGCGGCCGCACCGTCCCGGTGCCCAACGTGCGAGGATATGATGATTGATGATGATGAGATGTGAGACAGGGGGTTCATTGTGAGGCCTTGTTTGCTCGATCTGTGGCCATTGGCCATGGCCAGGGTCGTACGTACGTTTGGCTTTCAAAGTGCCAAGCCAAAGTTTGGTTTTGTTAAACTATTTTGATATCTATTTCGTTTGCAAAATTGCAACCAAAGTTTGTCTACTATAGCCGCTAGTCATTTTTTTGGGCGGCTCACAGAGGAGAGGTAGGCTAGACGATCGAATGTTTATACAATGGCGAACCGAGCATGGCGTACAGCGCGTGTATCTCGTGCCGCCAATGCTGTAGAGGCTAGCTGATGCGCGGTGATTTGCCAATCGCGATCTGCCCGGGGACAACAAACGCTGCTGGTAGTGACTAGTGGTGGGATGTCCACCTCGATCGATGGGTGTGACGCCTGCGGTATGCGAGGAGCGCGCGCTGCGTGCTAGCTAGGATAGCCCAATCCGTTCGCAGTTTGTGACTGTGTGCAACAGTGCTGTACACGATGCCTAAAAATGTGTATATTTACAGTATGTGTAAATTATGATTAAGAGAAATCATCATTTTACGATAATTTATTAGAGTCAGCTCGTCAACTATAGTGGTAATTTGTTTAGCATGAAATATCATGGTTGCTGATAACTCCATATTACTGATTATAGAATTCTTTGTTTCTTTACATCTCATTATACATCCACAGTCCTATTTTACGTTCAGTTAAACCAGCAAATATGTCCACTGCCTTTTCAATATAGTTCTACTTTATATAGTTGCATCAAGACTCTATACAGACCTACTGCTCCACCAATGAAGCAAACTATATTATGCCATTCCCATTAAATAACAAAGGAATATTCTAAACTGCCGTGTATATACGCTCATTCTAGATTTCCTTGTTCCAGCAATTCGGTGCGTTACATGCTCGGACAAATAAGATATGGCCTCGATCCTTCCTAGGGCCAGGCATAAACTGTGCAGCCTATTCTGCTGCGATTAGTATTGTATTTCAGTAATAAATGCTAGCGCTTTTGTTTTGCTAATTTTCTACGTACCCAACATTCGGCTGCACAAAGATTGCCTACTTATTTTTTCTTGCTCGAGCACTGCTCCAGCTTTCTCTGTTGTGCTGCCATGTCACATTATCTTTTATTTCTTAGGCATCATGCACTGCCACTAATTCATTGCTTGCTATTCATTCAGTAACGCTGATTTCCCTAAATTTAGTTTCCTTTATTAATTTCTATGTAATGTGTATTTGAGGTGATACAGTATATAAATATGCGGTTTACAAAAAAGAAAACCTGGATTTCCAACGTCGATATTACTTTGCCTTATATTGATAGGCATGCTTACCAATTTCATGATTAAACGTTCTCATGGTTTCAGCGGTAACCTACCATCATTTTTGTTTTTTTACTACTAACATGATTAGCATCTATATGATCGACCATGATCTATGAGAAACACAGTAAACATTTAGAGGCCATTATTTGGCTCTCCATTGAGCTCCCTGCTTAGCATCACTGCAATTTGTTCAGTATCCTGTTCTGTAGCCTGAGCTATATGAATTGAACCAACTCAGAAGTTACATTATGCCAGAATCATTCTATAATCATGTACCTCCCGAACATATATGTAACCACGCGTTTATCGCCTCTGCGCCCAATGGAACACCAAACTCTGCAAGGTCAGATATGTCTGCTATTTATTGATTCCAAAATACAAAGTTGAAAACCTTGGAAAACTATGCATGTTGGGCGAAATATGTGGATGCCAAAGCTAAAGATTTTAGATTGATTATTACATCGCCGAGATACAGTACTGTCGTTCTATTGATCAAGCATAGATCACTCTTTATTTTTGAATGGTCTAACCGTATTAAATATAAAAGGAGCTTCAATCTTTAAGTTTTTGTACATGACGTATCTACATTAGACTTCTAGTATTGTTTCCGTCCAAATATTAAACTTATTTTTTTCTGCGCTTTAACCGGGTGATTTGTCGGCGCGCGCGATGACGCGCGTGATGGACTAGTGTTTATACAATGGCGAACCGAGCATGGCGTACAGCGCGTGTATCTCGTGCCGCCAATGCTGTAGAGGCTAGCTGATGCGCGGTGATTTGCCAATCGCGATCTGCCCGGGGACAACAAACGCTGCTGGTAGTGACTAGTGGTGGGATGTCCACCTCGATCGATGGGTGTGACGCCTGCGCTATGCGAGGAGCGCGCGCTGCGTGCTAGCTAGGATAGCCCAATCCGTTGTTGCCGTTCGCAGTTTCGCACGCCTCCCGGCCGGCCGCTTCCCCGACGACTTTTCCTGCACTGCAGAGCATAGCTGAACAACACATGCGGCATTCATGGGTAGACACACGTGCCGGGCGTTCCCTGTGGTGGCCGCGCGCGTAACTGTCCACGCCGTGCTCCGCATCGATCGGGATCGTCCTGCCGGATTCGCCGGGCCAGTGGCGATCGACAGAACCACGCTAGATCGCCGTCCCGCGCGAAGCGAGCGTGACAGGCCTTGTCTCCTGCCGCCGATACTGTACCCGCCGGCTGTGTCCGGATCGGAGACGGCGATCCATGGATCGGGATAGATCGACAACCGTACGGCGATGGCGAATTGGCGTGTCGCGATGGCGAATCGACGATCATCACGCTAAACGGCTGCTGTTTCGTCTTTGGTGTACGTATGTACGTGTAGCTTGCACCTTGCGTCCTAGGTCCAGGTCGCCGATCGACACCGTCGGCGCATGCCGCATGCGGCGAGAACGAACGGCGGCCACGACGGCGCACTCGTGCGTTAGGAGCCACCCCGGCGTACGTCCTCCCTGCTGCCCTGCCGGACTGCATGCGCGAACCTAGCGGTGAGCGGCGTTGTCCAGGAGGCAGGAGCGGACGACACTTGGCTCGGCTCGGGTATTTCGTCCAAAAGCTCGAGCGCCTCGGCGTCGACGTGGCCGCGGAAGGCGAGCGCGGTGAGGATGTTGCCCTGCGCGCCTTCATCTTCACGGAGCGCACAACGGCGTCTCGGTCTCGGCCGCGGAGTCAGGAGTAGCATCACCAGGCACTGCCGGCCTCGAGCGCCACGAACCTGTCTGCTATGCGCGCCATCCCAGAGAACAGGTCCGTCCTGCTCCATCATCTATCATTCAGCCTGTTCGCTTGTTGGTTTCAACCAGTCCAAACAAGTCAGCCAACAGTGTTTTTCTCTCACAATAAATCAGCACCCACCAGCCCAAACCAGCTCAGAAACCAACCAGCGAACAGGCCCATCGATCGAGCCTAAATATAATGAAACACAAAGAAATTAGGGTAAAGTCCAATTTACAACCTTCAACTCTCGTCAAAGTCTAGATTTTAACCTCGAACTCCAAAACTGGATAACTTTGGCCCTCGAACTCTTGAAACCGTTCACTTTTCAACTCTGGGCCGGTTTCGGGCGGTTTTGATGGATGAACAGTAATTTTTGATATTTTCGGGAGGCATCGAAATTTTATATTATTTTTTTGAGCATCTTAACGTCCTCAAATGAAAAAAAAACTCAAAACTACAAAGTTGTAGATCTCATTGAGAGTTACAACTTTGGTATAAAAAGTATTTTCATTTAACTCCATACAAATAATATATTAGTGCTCTAATGCGGCAAACGCTAGTAGGCGATTATTATGGTGCTGAAATTTTATATTATTTTTTCGAGCATCTTACTGTCCTCAAATGAAAAAAAAAAAAAACTATAAAGTTGTAGATCTCATCGAGGTCTACAATTTACATATAAAAATTATCTTCATCCGATATCGTATTGAAGTGTTTTCTATCTTTTAAAATTTGAGTCTCATTACACCGTAATATTGTTTGACCCAGTCTTTGGCCTTTCGATTTTTGACCGCCAGGATTTGGCCCAGTCTCGACCAAATCCTGGGTCGGCCACTGCAGTGTGCTACTGTGCACGCCGTAGTCCGTATTCTCCGGACCACTGCCGACGAAGGATGCAGATGTTTCGTCATTACGCGTGCACGGATCGAGACGATGACAGATTGACAAGCACAAGTTAGGATTTTTAAAAAAAAAAAGAAATACTCCTAGTATTTGAATTAATCTTTCAGATTTACAAGACAAGTTAGGAATTGCGCTGTAGCCTTCGTTGATTGATGCGGTGCTAGAGCGCCGTCCCGCGCGAAGCGAGTGTGGCTGGCCTTTGTCGTCTCCTGGCGGCCGCCGCCGATACCGTAGCGGCTGCCGTGTCCGGACTCCGGAGACGGCGATCCATCGATCGAGATCGGTGGACGCAGCATGCCAGCATCCGTTATACTGTAGTCCACTGCAGGCAGGAGGTCAGGTGCGAGAGCTTAAAATTTCTGGACTCAAAATGCACTTAGGCCCAACTCGAGGCCGGCCCACTTGAGCAATCTCACGCACGCCTAGGTGGACACGGCCTGCATTTCCGCCGCACGCTTGCTCCTCCAACGGCGCGCGATGGCGGCGGCTTTGCCTCCCCCGGAGGCCGCGGCGGGGGCGGCGCGGGTGGGGCTGCTGTACGACGAGCGGATGTGCGCGCACGCCACGCCCGACGGGGAGGACCACCCGGAGAACCCCGAGCGGCTGCGCGCCATCTGGCGCAAGCTTAACGACGAGGGCGTCGTGTCCAGGTACGGCCTTAACGCTCTAGTGGCTGCTGTGTGCTCACCTGCTGCACGCTTCCCACCCGGGTCCAGAGCGGCGTCGTTTTGGTACCTGCTACTGGTAGGAACTGGAACTGGAGAGTATGTGGGGACTCATTCTTTTTGACAGTGTCGCCAACTCACTGCCCAAAGCAGCCATTATTTTCCCTCCGTTCCAAAATGCAGGTCCTTTTGGTTTATCCCCAAGTCAAACTTCTCATCCTTAACCAAAGTCTGTAGAGAAAAAAAAAACATATGATTATCAACATTACTAAATAAATGCAATGTCAAGACCTATTGCATGCTGGATTTAATGAAATAATTCGGTGACGTAGATGTTATTGTATTTTTTTATAAACCTGGTCAAAGCTAGAGAGTTTAACTTAAGAACGAAACTAAAATGGCCTACATTTTGGAACACAGGGAGTACAGTTAAAAGAAAGAAAAAATCATGGCCTTGTTTACAGTACTTGTAGAATTTATGATGACGGCTTCCTTGCTTTTGTGCAGTAAGCCATAACTTCGATGCTATTAAATGTAAGCTGAAGCATTACCAATAGGGCTTAGTGCTGTCGATTAAGTTCATTGTTCTGATAGCTTAGTTTGCTTAATCTTACTTGGGGATGATTTTATTCAATGGTTCAGAAACTGTACTATAGCATACTTCTCTTCCAGGTGTGTGGTCCTTGAGGCGAAGGAAGCTGAGGACAAGCACATAGCTTCTGTTCATAGCCAGAACCATATAAAGCTGATCAAGAAAATTAGTTCAAAGACTTATGATTCCAGACGAAACAAGATTGCTAAGAAATTCAACTCCGTTTACTTCAACAAGGGTTCCTCGGAGTCTGCTTTACTTGCAGCTGGTTCTGTCCTAGAGGTATCTTACATTTACTTTTCCGTCATTGCATAAACCAGCTTCCTACTTCCGTAGCTATTCTCATTATGTTCCATCTCATTGGTGAGGTATCACTGAAAAGTAACTTATTTGGCAAATAGGTAGCTGAGAAGGTTGCTGCTGGTGAGTTAAGTTCTGCTATTGCTCTAGTCAGACCTCCGGGCCACCATGCAGAACATGATAAGGCAATGGGATTTTGCCTCTTCAACAATGTGGCAGTTGCAGCTAATTACCTCTTAAACTAGAGGGTATGCATACGTATTTGAACCTTCCATGTTGGTTTTGTTTTCTCATTTGTTCTATATTAATACCAAATTACGAATGCTTGTCTTTTCCAACATAGACACAAATGCCACATTTTGTTTAATGTAATCTAATACTTAAGAAGGGCGGGCCTGGTACAAGCGGTAGAATACTACCGACTGTGACCGGAAGGTCCCAGGTTCGAGCTGCAGCCTCGTTGCATTTGCACATCACAAGGGTAAGGCCTGCTCCCCAGACCCCGCACAGTGAGTGAATACATTGGCATTGTAATTTTGTTGCTTTAGTAATGAAATTCGGGTTTACCGTTATAGAAAAAAAAAAGTAATCTAATACTTGGTGTGCTCACTTTGAATCTGTCTTCTTTACATTGCAGACTGATTTAGGTATAAAGAAGATATTGATTGTCGATTGGGATGTTCACCTTGGAAATGCCACTCAGAAAATGTTTTATGATGATCCTCGTGTATTGTCCTTTTCAGTTCACAGGTTTGAGAAAAGTAGAAAACAATTTTGATAGGATTAAGTCCACTTTTGGCCCATCAACTATTGTGTCGGTCTAATTTTAACCCTCAACTACAAAACCGTCTAGTACCGGTACCCAACTGTCAAAACCGTTCACTTTTAGCACCTGGGCGGGGGCAAGGCTGTTTTGACCGACGTTGAGCGGTTTTGACACGCAACCTCCATCTCAGTGACATGTGGGGCCCATGCGTCATCGACTCAATCCCTTCATCTCCATCCTCACGGCCACGGCCTCGCGCTCCTGGACGCCGACGAGGAAGGTGGCCGCGGCAGCACACGCGCAGTCCGCGAGCGAGCCGTGCCACCCGAGCACACGCACGGTCCGCGAGCAAGTCGTGCCACCCGAGCGCACGAGCGCCACGGACATATCGGCCCACGTTCGAGTTTTGGTCGGTTCCCAGTCCATGGTTTTTCCTCGAAGAAAGGCAACGAGCCCTTGGGACTGGTCGAACGGACCCGAGAACTATATGGGTTGGCCACTGAGAATCTGGAGTCGGTCACCAGCTGACCCATGCCGGACACCCGCGAACGGGAAGCCGGGGCCCCACTCGGACTAGCCCATTAACAGCTCACTGAGCACCATGTTTCATCCATCGAGAAAAAACGTGGCACGGCTCAGCCCCTCCGTTTTATCAAAAAAAACGCTTGAGGGATGACGATCACAAAGACGAGCCGACCCTCGACCGGACCCCTGCAACGTCGGGGGCTCGGGGGAAGTTGGACTAGCAAGGAGACCGAATGCGCGGTCGCAGGACGATGGCTCGGATCCTAGGGAGGGGTACGTACAAAAACTAAGAATAACTTTTCTGAAACAAAAACGCTTTCTCTTACCAGTTTCGCTATCGTCTCCTCGATCTTTAGTGAAACCTAACCCTGGCAATGGTAAGGGGTCGGGCCTCACTCGAAAGTTGATAAGGGTATATATATATATATCCTTTCTGAAACAGACATCGTGCCTAACCCTTTCTCACGTTAAAAACGTAGAGGCAAGGTTTGCAGAAACGAACGCTGAGTAAAACTGGTAAGACTGCAAGAAACCCACGCCCCAGCGACTACGTCACTCTTACTTACCAGCATGACCAGAGTTTCTCGCCCACACCTCGAGTTCTACAGTCTTAACAACAGGAAGGGTCGGAACGCATTAACCCTTTTTACACATAAAAAGAGAGAAAGAACAAATTTGTTTAACCGAAACAATAAGAACAAGCTTGTTTAAACGAAACAGAAGGGTTGGAACTTGTCCGCTTATTACAAATGCACCGCCTAACCTATCTGACTAAACTAACCCCTTGGGAGATGATTTCATCTTCTATCTTGGCAGAAAGGTCATGCGCCCAGGGGGCCACCTCCTTCTCGATGTAGTCTAGCTCAGCGTCGGTATAGACGGGCATGAAGCCTTGGCTCATCGTCGCCAGATCGATGTTCTCGTAATGAGAATGGGCGATCGTGAATGATCGGTGAATGCCAAAGTGAAGTGCACCCCTGGCCATATCACGTGCCCAGTCCGTGATCCGGGTGGCGTGAACCGCGAGCGAGCTTGTCTCCCGCTTCGGGCCAGCTCGAGCTCGTCGCAGACTAGCTAGACGGCGACGCGCAGGTTGTCGTGTTCGTCGCTCTCCTTCTGGAGGTGTCCTTCACCTCGCCGAGCTCCTTCTCTAGGCCACGGCTCTTCACCACCTCCGCCCCGAGCATGTCGTCGACACCTACCCAAGTCATGTACCGATCGTGTTAAAAGGCTTACCACGGATTCCAGGGAGAAAGACAACAAGGGAAACCAAAGACTTACCGTTCACGTCCGCCCGAAGCGTGCGCACCTCATCGCGTTGCCGGGTCACCTTGGCCTCCAAGCGTCGGACCTCTTCTTAGTGCTGACCGACCTCCGCGGCGAGCCTAGTTGCCACGCCCTCGGCTGCAACCTTTAGGTCCCTCTCCTCCTAAAGCTCATCCTCGAGGTGGTCGATCCGCTGCTGAGCGTCAGTGCGCTCCTGGCAAGCCAGGTCAATCCCCGTGCGGAGCTCCTCTATGGCCCGGAGCAAATTGTCCCGGTCTTTCCATAGTCGCTCGGCCTCCACGGCGTCCGCGCGCACCCTCTCGATCAGGGCCGCAAGCTTCTCCTCAGCCTCGCGGGCGTCGTCGCGAGCGTCCTTCTCCCTGACTCAGAGGTCGGCCACCTCCCGAGCGGCAGGGGCAAGCTCAGCCACCCCCTGACGGGCGACAGCGAGCTGTGCGGCTAGCCCCTCACTCCACCATGTCTCCTCAGCAAGGAACTGGGACTTCTCCTGGCTACGGGCCATAAGGATATGTGAAGAAGACAAGACTTAGAAGCATGGAAAGAAAACATGAGGGCCGAAAGCACGGTCATATCATACCTAGCCAACCGGGGTGATAATGTCGCGCATCGAGCTCAGCATGGTGGTCAGGGCGCGGATGCATCTCATCCTTTTCATAGAGTCTCTTCTTGAGGGCATCTAATATCATGATGTTTGCCCGTTCAACCTGGCCATTGGCTCTAGGGTGGGCGACCGAGACATATTTGACGGAGATGCACCGGTGAAAGGTCCTAATGGCTAGAGGGGGGTGAATAGCCTATAAAAATTTCTACAACAACACTTAAACAAAGTGGTTGGTCAAAAGGACGGCGAAGCGAGTGTTGTGCTAGCCTACTAAAAAATGCAAGTCACCTACCACAATTCTAGTTGCTATAGTATCTATCCACACAATGGCTATATCACTACACTAAGTTAGTGAGCTCTCAAAGACTAGCTAAAGAGCCTCACTAACCACTAGTCCCGACGCAAGCTAGCTCTTAAAACTAATTACACTAAAGAGCTTAGCTTACACACTAGGATTGTAATACAAGAGAGGATGGCGATGATTATACCGACGTGTTGAAGTATGAACCAATCACAAGATAGAGCCAATCAATCAATCACAAGATAACCAATAAAATCCTTGGACAAGGTGACACAAGATTTTTTACCAAGGTTCACTTGCTTGCCGGTAAGCTAGTCCTCATTGTGGCGATTCACTCACTTCGAGGTTCACGCGCTAATTGGCATCACACGCCAAACCCTCAATAGGGTGTCACACAACCAACACAAGATGAGGATCACACAAGCCATTAGCAATCCACTAGAGTACCTTTTGGCTCTCCGCCAGGGAAAGGTCTAGAACCCCTTACAATCACCACGATCGGAGCTGGACACAAGCACCTTCCTCCGCTCAATGATCCTCGCTGCTCCAAGCCATCTAGGTGGCAGCAACCACCAAGAGAAACAAGTGAATCCTGCAGCGAAACACGAACATCAAGTGCCTCTAGATGCAATCACTCAAGTAATACACTTGGATTCTCTCCCAATCTCACAAAGATGATGAATCAATGATGGAGATGAGTGGGAGGACTTTGGCTAAGCTCACAAGGTTGCTATGTCAATGCAAATGGCTAAGAGAGTGAGTTTGAGCCAGCCAAACACCTTTTATAGAGGCTCCATCGAAATAGAGCCGTTGGCCCCTCAGTCCACTGAAAAACTGGGCGACCGGACTCACCGGTCAAGTTGATCGGGCACAGACCCCTAGCGTCCGGTCGCTGGATGTGCGCCACACGTGCCCTGCTTTAAACCTCTGCCGACCGATCCCAAAGGTTGAAACAGCCCGCGCTCGCATTAAGAAGTTATGATCGGTCGCACGGTCACAAGGACCGGACATGCCGATCCGTAGTTAACATACACGCGCGCCAACACCTGCACCCAGTGACCGCATGCGCTGCTCCCCGCAGCTTCCCAGCGTCAAGTCGTTTACAGAGAGGTTCTAGAGTATCAAATTGATGACCGGACGCGTCCGATCAGGAGCAACCGAACGCGCCCAGCATCAGGTCTTCTTTTCGCTCGCCAAACCGCTCACGTCAGCGTACGTCACCTATGACCTAACACAAACCCTACGCGTCCGGTCACATTTATTGTGCAGCATTCGGTCAACAGACAGACCAAGCCCGAGCAAGCCATCTTCACTATAATTGACCGGACGCTCAACCAGCGAGTCCGGTCACTTCGAAACCAGCGTCCGGTCAGTGAAAAATAGCTCCTCCATTTCTCCAACTTCGCCACCCTTGATCAAATGTACCAACCACCAAGTGTTTTACCTTGTGCACGTGTGCTAGCATATTTTTACAAACATTTTGAAGGGTTTTAGCACTCCACTAGATCTAACTGCATATGCAATAAGTTAGAGCATCTAGTGGCACTTTGATAACCGTATTTTGATATGAGTTTCACCCCTCTTAATAGTATGGCTATCGATCCTAAATATGATCACACTCGCTAAGTGTCTTGATCACTAAACCAAAAAGCTCCTATGGAATATCGCCTTTGCCTTAAGCTTTTTGTTTTTCCCTTTCTTCTTTTCCAAGTCCAAGCACTTGATCATCACCATGGTCACACCATCATCATGATCTTCACCATTG